TGGGTCTGGAGGGAGCTCAGCTGTGGAAATGTTGGTTTTGCCTGGGGCTTGCACTTGGGTTCCGCGTGTGTGCACGTTTCTGTTGATGGTAGGTGACCAGGTGACAGGCCCAGCGTCCCCACAGCGCCCCGCGCAGCCTACGGTGCCCTGCAGCAGGCAGATGGGCGTTAAGGAAAAAAAATATATAATTGTTATATATTTTAATATGTGACTTTTTATTTTTTACCGGGGGTTGAGCCCAGGGGCGTTCAACCACCAAGCCCCATCCCCAGCCCCGTTATTTTCTATTTAGAGACAGCGTCTCCCTGAGTTGCCTTAGGTTCAATCCCTGGTACCAAAAAAAAAAAAAAAAAAAAAAAAATCCCCCCAAAACAATTGTAATTCTGCTTTATTCTCTGGTGGATCACAGCCATCCGGGGACAGTTGGACTCCAAACTTTTCTCTAAGTTATGGATCAGCTGGTTACTGTGGGTTCATGACTTCTAAAGTGGAAGTTCCAGGGTTTAACTTGTGATTGAAACGCAAAATTGGAAGCAGGTTGGAGATTCCTCAGAAGACTTGGAATGGAGCCACCATCGGACCCAGCTGTCCCACTCCTTGGTTTATACCCAAAGGACTTAAAATCCGCACACGACAGGGACACAGCCACATCTGTGTTTATGGCAGCTCAACTCAGGATAGCCAAGCTAGGGAACCAACCTAGGAGCCCTTCAACAGGTGGATGGATAAAGAAAATGTGGTCCATATACACAGTGGAATATTACACAGCCTTAAAAAATGAAATGACGGTATTTGCTGGTAAATGGATGGAGCTGGAGACGATCACACTGAGTGAAACTAGCCAGTCCCCCAAAACCAAAGGCTAAGTGTCCTCTCTGATATGGGGACACTGACCCACAATAAGGAGGAGGGGGCACAGCAGTTCCTTGGATGAGACGCAGGGGAGTGGAGGGAAGGGAAGGGAGGGGACTGGGAGAGACAGGGGAATGAATGGATGTCACTTTCCCATGTTCACATAGGAACCCACGACCAGGGACACCCCACAGCAGGTCCAGCCACAGGAATGGGACGTCACACCCTGTGTAGGTGGGACATGGCAGAATGTGCTCTGTCATCATGGAGAGCTAAAAAGAACAAATTTTCTTTTTTTATAAAAGTGAGTTTAAAAAGAAAGAAAATGAAGCCGAGCCCAGTGGCACATGCCTGTCATCCCAGCGGCTCAGGAGGCTGAGGCAGGAGGATCGCCAGGTGGAGGCCAGCCTCAGCAACTTCCTGAGGCCCTGAGCAACTCAGGGAGACCCTGTCTCTCAATAAAATACAAAATAGGGCTGGGGAGGCAGTTCTCCTGTCAAAGGGGACCCTAGCAGGTGATCACCAGGCCATCGGCAGCAGGAGGTCACGCCAAAGGGTCTGGCGTGGGGCTGCTCAGACCTCTCTGTCCCCTCAGCCACACACAGAAGAGTCCTCGTGGCTGCTGGGGGACCCTGGTAAAGTCCCTCCTGCCTCCCCGCACCCCCAGTGTGACATCACCACGTGCTGCTCCAACCAAAGTGTGACTCTGCGGTGGCCCAGGAACAGAAGGGAGTGCGGACCCACTTGGGAGCATCCATTTATAAGAGATTCGGGAAACAGAAATGGGTGAGGGACCCTGCAGCGCGGGGGCAGAGCAGGGCGGGGACAGGGGACCCAGGGGAAGGTCCCTGGTGTCTCCTCCAGGTGGGGGCAGGAGGCTGCTGCACCTCCCTCCAGGCCCGTGAAGATCCTGTGTCACCTGAGGAGACAGGAATGACAATGAGCAGCAGAGTTCATCAAACCCACTGTCCCCAGACCTCCCGGGCCCTCCGTGTCCCCTGGGGTGACCAGCCATGGGAAAGTGACATCCAGGACGGAGTCTGGGAGATGAGAGGTCCACTGCGCCGCACCTACCTGGCCCCGCGGGGTCTCGGCTGTCGGAGTCCATCAGAGCCACTTTGTTCTGGAACCTTCTACCAGCCTGGTCTCTGTGCGTTGGCGCCACTTGGTTTTGGAGCCTGGGGCCCGCCTTGGGGACCGCCACTCAGCAGCACACACGGGCCATGCAGGCAGCGATCCTCCTGGACAGTCCCCCACAGCCCTTGCTGCTGTGGTGGGCAGGGCCCAGCGTGTCACCCCAGGGTGGCTGGACCGAGACCAAGCACTCTTCTGGGGACCCCTGGGAGGGCTCCCTGCTGGTCACCTCCCAACATGTCGCTGCTCGACCAGGAGCCGCCGGGGAGCTGGGCAGCCAGGCTGGCCATGGGGGTGCCCGACTGCAGGCTAGACTCGGGAAGGACCGGCTCGCTGGCTCTGTGGCCCTTCTTTCTGAGTGGCTTGTCCCCCATGAGCAGGATGATGGTGGAGCCAAGGGCTCCTGGGGGTGCATGGGGACACTGGAAGGGACCGAGGGGCAAGGTGGAGGCCCAGCCTCCGGCCTCACCGGCTTTAGTGGGACCAAGCAGCTGGCCCCCGAGTTTTCTGGTAYTGAAGCATGAGGTACGTGGCCATCGCTGCGTCGAACTTTGTGGCTTTCAGGGACATCCAGGTGTCACTCAGGTCTGCATGACCTTCATGATCGAGGGGTGTCCAGGGGAGGTTCTGTGCATGGACATGGTGGCTCCTGGTCCTCCCCCGGGCTCAGCCACGGGTGCCCCAAGACCTGGTGGATCATGGGTCTCTGTGTGGGGTCCATGGTCAGCATCTGCAGGATGAGGCTCCTGCACCTCTGGGGACCGGTGGGAGGGGACGTCG